GTCGAAAATTCACGAAATCCACGAAGGCTTTTTGCCTGGTCCTGATTGATGAAGTATTTTCCAGCAAGGGAGTTCTGAAAATGTTTGAAAAGGTGATAGTCGGTTGGTGAAAGGTCTGAAGAATATGGCGGTTGAGGTAGAACTTCAACCCCCAATTCGTTCAATTTATGGATAGTGATTTGTGAAACGTGTGGGCGGGCGTTGTCATGCAAAGGAATCGGACCCTTTCTTTTGATAAGTGTTGGCTGCATCTGACAAAATTTTCGGTACAATTCGTCGATTTCTTCACAGTAGGGTTCTGCTGTGATGGTTTGGCCTGGTGATAAAAAGTTATAGTGGATCACACCAGCCGATGACCACCAAGCCGTGACCAGAATCTTTTTTTCGTGAGGGTTCGGCTTTGAAAATTACCTCGGTGGTTCGTCGAAATCCAACCACTGTCCGGAACGTCTCCTGTTATCATACATGACCCATTTTTCATCACAGGTGACAATTCGGCCCAAAAACAGGTCGTTTCTGCTGCGCAAAAGCAATGCAGAAGGAACCTCGAGACGTGCCGATTCCTGCCGGTCACTCCGATTGTGGGGCACCCAATTGTCGAGTTTTTTCACCTTCCCAATGCGTTCCAGACCATCTGCAACAGTGGATTTGCCAAGGCCTAGCTCTTCTGCTATCTCTCGAACTGTTTGGGATGGGTCAGCCTCCAAAATCCCCCTAAAATCCTCGTCAGATATTGCTTTAGGTCGACCGCTATGAGGTTCATCTTCAAGGCTGAAATCTCCAGAACGAAATTTGTTGAGCCATTGCCGCACAGTGCTTTCTCTAGCACTATTGGGCCCCCACACCTGGTTAATTTGTTGAGCTGTTTCGATTGCGGATTGCCCCAATTTATAGTCGAAGAAAAAAATCGTCCGAAGTGCTCTTTTCACATGCTTGAAAAAATCTTGAAAAAAGGGGGTTTATCAAGCAATGGTGAAACGGCAATTATACCATCAGATAGCGCAAGAAATTCTCTACAGGATGTGCTACTGAGAAGCAAGGCAGAATGAGTTTTTAATCAGCAGTGAATGTACAAAAAATAGGTGCACAAAACGCTGAGAACTTTCCGGACAACCTAATACTAAACCTATCATCGTTATAATCAAAGTTGGTTTGTATAATATATGAGCGGAACTCGTGCTTCATGATTCGCTCCGGAACACTTGTAACTTTGTAGTTCCCATAATCTCCGACTCATTTTGGACTTGTTTGTATGTTAAGTTACCCAACGAAATTGTCAGTGTAATGTCTAATTGTGTTGCTGTTCAAAGTACAACGAATGCAGCGAACGTCCTCATCTTTCGGAACTTGTTCTAATTTCTCTGTGACGCTACTTATTTCAGCGCCGTCGTGTCCATCTCACAGATTATTCGGCGAGGAAGAAGCAGCGCGAGAAAGAGAAAGAAAAACTGAGGAAAGCAGGACTTCTGGAGGAGCCTCAACCCAAGTCTGAATCTGTGGAGCCGGAAGAGAAAAAACCGACTCCGCAACCGGAAACGCCGGAACCAGTCATAAAGGCTCCTTCTGTAAACAAGTGGGAGCCATTTCTATCTGAAAATAATATATTTTGAATGAAATCTCGTGAAAAACGAACTGAAATAATGTTTCAAGTGTCACTCTTTCATTTATATCATATTTTCCTTGATAACTGGGCAACGTACAGGTACTCACCATTGCAATTAATGGCTGATCATCTACTTCGAAAGGTCATGTCAAAAGATCCAGAAGAGTATTTTGCTTTCCCAGTCACACCGTCAATTGCGCCGGACTATCATACCATCATAGCTCATCCAATGGACTTCTCTACAATGCGGTAAGTGACAATTCACTTGTGATGAATAGTATTTTACCTTCTAGAACTGTTGTGGTGAACATATGTATTTATACAAAGAGCAAAATAGCGCTGTTCGGCTTGGATTTTGCACTTTCGCTAGTTCCTTCTGTTAGTTCATGTCAAATAACAAGAATTCAAACTTCAACTTTGATATGATCGATGAAGACTAAGAAGCTGCAGATTAGTAAGTGCGTCACTTTGGTCACAGAAATTTGCAAGTTTTCGCGAGGTGGCCTCTAGCTTAGCTGGGTATTATTGTATGTCCCACCAGCTCAAACTGCGCCAGAAAAACAGTGCTCACCCGGTTCATACTTGATCTTTTTCACCACGTATCTGTTCGCGCGCGTAATTACTTAAGTTTGATTTGGTAATTCTTTCAGCGTCGTTTACTTCAGGCAGAAAATCGAAGACAACGTCTATGAGACGATCACGGAGATGCGAACCGATGCGGAGCTGATTGTGTCAAATGCGCTAACGTACAATAATCCGAACACAGTAGGAGTCATGAATCTTGTCGCAACCGTGTTTTTCAGCTCGAGTATGGTATTGATTCCTTTCAGGTCTATCATCTGGCCGCCACACGACTTTCTGCGATCGTGAAATACTACTTTTCGGAGCAATATCTTCGCTACATTTTCCATACACTCCCTTTCGCGAACCAAGTAGGATGGTGATCCTCTAATGAGAAAAGGCTGTATTTATTTTAGATGTTACTGCCTGATCTAAGGTTCTTACCAGATACCGTTGGAGAAAGCTGGACTTGCACCTCTTGCTGTGACCGCGCACAAACAAGAAAATCGACGTCGCCAAGTTCTTATAGATGATATGAATGGTGAAGATTGTCTCAAAGCTGCTGAGCCCGCTGTTCGATCGAAGCTTTCGGTTCGCTTACCGAATGCCAAATTTGGATTCCTGGACAACAAGGTAAGGAAACAATGTGGAGGAACGATTTAGCTGTGGGAATTTCTTCATAAAAATGCCCACCAAATTTCATAAATGAGGTAGTCCCTTTCAGCACTCACTGTTTAGGATGGAGCCACTGTTTTGAATGTGATTGGTGAAACGGATCGGAAGTGCTTGAAACTTGGTGACATTGTTGGACCGCTGGACGAGGGCACGCCTGGAATGTTGAGTCTTGGAGATCACAGGTACAACGATCTTATTGAATGCGGATCATTGATATTGATCATATAGTTTCCGAGCCTCGGACCTTCCCTTCCCTATATTCACTAAAGGTGAAAGACTGACGAATTCCAGAGTCAGTCTTTAGTTCGCGTACTTCTGATGAAACCAGTTGATGCTGGTCATCGGGCTCGTTGTTTGCATGTAGAGCGATTGACCCTTTTGAGGGTATACGCAATCCGTCTTCCAGTTTTTTGGATGAACACCCTCACGACTGCGTTCATACGTTCATCGACTAGGAAAGCGTAGGTATCGATCTAGCGTGCTCGTACAGCAGCGTTTCGAGCGACTAGGAATGTATGGATACCGGTCTAGCGTTTCAAGCCTCCACTAGAAGGTAGCAGCGTTTTCGCAGCCAATTTGCTCGAGCCCGGATTGCCCGCAGTACGCTGACATACACTGAAGTGCGCTAGATCGATATCTATATTTTCCTAATCTCTCGAAACCCGCTGTACACCGGCATACGTTGGTGGAGCTCGAAAAGCTAGATCGATGCCCATGCTTTCCTATACGCTGGCGCTGGCGTACGCCAAAGTCTCAACGCACCCTTAGGCTACAGTACGTGAGAAAATTACATTCCAGGTTATCTGGGCAATCTATGATAACGTATCTCAATTATGGACCATTTTCTTCATTTGCTCCTCAATATGATTCTACATGGGCCACGCTTACCAAGCGAGACTCGGATCTGCTGTTGAGGTTTGGTTTATCTATTTCAGTTTTTCGTTGCTAGCTCAAGTACCATCACCTGCAGCTTAACTTTTTTCGTACAGTTGACAGCTTTACGGCATATTTTCTGAGCGTTTTGCATGGCGCTGGTAAATTTCATAGAAGCGTAGGGAGAAAGGCAAGTCCCTCATTCAGACGCTCAGCTTCAGTGGGATTTCGTCGCTCGCCAAGATCATTAGAGTGATGCAAATTTTTAACCTAACATGGCTGGAAGATTATCATTTGTTCAATGAGTTCCTCATTTCGACGGTGCCATGGAACTTCTTGGAGCCTTGTTTTGTGATAGTTTCAAGCTTACGGATTATGCATTCAGAATTTATTTGGCCCAGTAGCATCCGAAGAAATGAATGATACAGAAATCCAGGGGAGTAAGACGGTTACAAAGCATCAGAGTGTTCTCTTAGACATGTTTACCGCCCTCACGGTCCACCCCTTTCGGAATGGAGGTGAACTGACCTGTCTGTGCACGATTCTCATGAAAATGTGATCATAAGACGCCTAATAGCGACATCAAGATCAAGAGCCCCGTTACTTCAACCCTTTCCCCCATCACCTTTGCCAATATAGCGATATTAAAGTGAGAAACTGAACGACACATAAGTCGTTGCGCGTCTTCGTGCGACCGAGTGGGTTTGGGATGCGTGAGCATCTCCTGTAATGATGAAAATATTATTAGGGTGTCCATAAAGTTCGTTGGCCATTTGTAAACAGCGTCGCGTTACGCAACGCGTTGTGATTTTGCATAATGATTTCGCAATACTGAAAGTACTCGCGATGGGCTATCTTCTGAGCTAGCTAGCTCTAAATTTCCTTTCCTGCTCTTCCCACAATAAAGCAGTGAAGATGAGTGATAGTCACCACCACCGCCGATGTTTGCTGGACTACTACAACCTGGGCATCTCCAGACGCCAGGCCAGGGGCCGTATGCTATACTTCCCTCGAGGGGAGGGATCCCCTTCCCCGTATGCTACACTTCCCCCGAAGGCTTTGGGGGAGAGGCCACGCCTACCAAATTAGGGGGAGAGCTCCCCCAACAACACGTGTTGGGGAAGATATCCCCTGGAACAGTTTTTTAGCTTATTTCCCATTTGTTTTGAACTTTTCTTATTTCTTCATGTTACAGAAACACTCCTAACCACTCTACCGATTTTTTTTCATCTCATTACTTTTTACACAGTGTTTGGAGAGCTATTCTATGCTATTGTCTGACCGCACTTTTACATTTTCAAAAATGATCACTTCTTCTTTCTTAGGATCTATTATAGCTTTTTATTCAACGTGATCGTTTTCTTTTCAATCTTAATAATATATATTTTATATTATATATGATAATAATAACATATATTTATATATTGAATACTATACACATTATATATATATAAGAATAATAATGAAAGTCGTGTATTATATACAGCAATAATAATATATGTTGTATGAGTTCGCAGCGGATGCTATCCAAACCATGCCGAGGTCGCCTCTTTGAAAAAAAAACTCAAGCGCGCTTGTTCGAACCCTTTTCATTGGGGCGCTCCATTTCATTACAACAGCCCGGAGGTAAATTCAAAAGGCTCATTCTACTACGATGAGCATCGTTACAACGATGAACTTCATTCATTTATATTGGAGTCATTCGTGATGATCAATAACTAATAAGTTATCGAGTAGCAGTTAAGTCCGTGCAACTAATTCTTACTGGTTTCACAAAGTCCTCTGAAACAAATTGGATGTACTAAATAAGGTAGAGAACTCATTTTAGGGAACTTCGTACTAACCGTCGCACTATTCTCTTCCTGAGCTCCTCTAAGTCAAAGACCATTACTAGATGATCCTAGTATGGTACTGTCACTCTGAATCACCTGTGGCAACGGGCTCGCAAAATAGAGCTCCCAATGAAAAGGATTCAAGCACATTACACAGATATTACATATTACATTAATTACACACAATACAAATACATTTCTATGTATGTTATATGTTGTTGCATTGCCCATACTGAAAATGAGTGCGCGTTCGGAGAGCGGAGGACATAGTGATAGAGACAGGGCCACTAAGATAGTGGATAACATGTCGTTCTTACGGTGGGACAGATTCAGCCACCCTTCAATCTAGAGATTTCCTACATTTCGAAATTTAGACTGAGAAAGTATTTTGTTGAACGCGGATTCAAGAATGTTGAAAAAATTAATGTGGTCACCCCTATGACCTTGATTAATACACAATTCAGCCTGAAAATAGCTTTATGATAGCAGGGCAAATGATTGCAATTGATAATCATCACTTCTAGCTTGAGATTCTCCGAAATGTCACAGTGCAAAGCCAGAGGCTGCATGTACGGACGACCCTTCCCCCAAATTTGCGCCAGCCAACTCTGCGTCTCTACCGCTTCGGGGATCCCCTCGAGTGTAGCATACGGCCGCTCTGGGGGACGTCCCCCTGGGGTGTCTTCCCCTAGAGGGGACCCCTCCCCTCGAGGGTGAGTATAGCATACGGCCCCAGGACCAGGATGCGTCAGCAGTTTGGTGATAACACCCCTTCTAAGAACTGGATGACAAAATGGTGGACTCGCTTCACCAATGGAAACTATGGCATCGAAGATATGCCGAGGTCCGGTCGCCCAGCCACCGTCGATCGACAAGGCATTCATCGACAGGCACAATGCCACAGTGACGGCAGAGACCCTCTCTAAAGAATTGCAGGAGGTCAAGGTGAAAGCTGCCGCCTTGTCCCAGAAACTTGCAAATCCGTGGTTGCTCTGGGACAACGCGCGCCCCCACAAAGCGAGAGATACTCAGGCCGTCCTGGACAGGCTGGGCATCAAGACGGTCACGCATCCACCGTATAGCCCAGTCACTGCCGGTCCATGCAAAATTTCTTGGACGGAAAGAGCGCGACCTCGAGGACGTGATCGAGGACTGGGCCGAGTCGCGGCCGGCCGGCTTTTGGGAGGATGGAGTTGCCTCTCTACCCGATCGTTGGCGAAAGGTAGTGGGTATGCATGGAGATTATATCATGGACCGGTAAGTTCAACTTGGTGAGATATCTTTACCAGCTCTGAAAAAACGAATGGCCAACGAACTTTGTGGACACCCTAATGTATAGACTTTGACCACAATATTGTCTGAAAGGAAAGTATCACCTATATCACTTTAGGTCCCGAGGTGTGCTAGCAATGTCTTTTTTCGTCCCTTTATGGAGAGAGTGTTGTTCAGTAGATTTCTTCTCGCTCAGCAGACTTGAAGCGACTCTCTTCAGTACAGAACTCTCTTGAAGAAGTCTGTCCATCAGACTGTCTTAACGTTCTCGTGAAGTCCCGAAGGATCCACTTAGTCTGTGCTCTGGTTCAACGATCCTCACAAACCCATGACTCATGACGTGTCAGCCCACTTGTTGCGATTTGCAGGTGTTGTAGTTCCCGTATCTTGACCCTGCTGTAGCCTCCCAACTTATTATCTGCTATTATTTCCTATACACAAGCTCTCTTGTAAATTGTTGAGCACGCTTTGGGGTGTTTGAGAGTAGAGACATACAGCTGTGAGCACCCGTTGCAAGTATGCCTCCGTCCGCCTACTCATTTCCTCTGTTTTCCTACTTCTTCCTCTCACCTGGCTTACTTGAGCTCTTTGAAACCGTATTATGTGTTATGGAGGTAAGCGGCTCCTGGCTAAGCACTTCTCCCACTGGGGTGAGGTGTCTGGGGCTCAGCTTAGCTCATGTGTCATCTGTACATCTTGTCCCATGCCCTACCCATCCCACACCTGACCCGGCGCCTCATATTGCCTCATCAGGTGGGTGAAACGCGCAGTGGAAATGAACTACATTTTGTGGTCTATGAGGGAGCTCCTACAAATGCAGAGAACCTACATAGAGACATTCCGCCCACCTGATGAGGCAATCGAAATCAGCTGAAGGAACGACCCTAAGGTGGCTGATCAGAGTGTTTCCCGCTTTTACGGGCTAGTGCCATGCGAAAAAGCGGGAAACACCCTCATTAACCTCTCTATGAAGTCGTTCCTTCAACTGATGTTGACCTTTTGACCTGATCTTTCAGACATCTTTCTCCTGTTTAGCGAGGTTGGCCCTAGCCCGTTCTTGATAAATATCATTTTTGGTTAGATCTTTGACTATTTCTCGTCGAAGATCCCTTTTTCAATGTGCTAGCGCCAAATAAGAAGTTTCTAAATTCCAGAACATACGGTGATCGTTCCACTGTGGCCGATGTCATGTCCTTGAGAGAGATGGTTTGCAACGCAGGCGCTCATTTTGTGAAGGTGATTTTCCTCTTCATCGTCTGATAATTACCACTTTTCATATTGGTCAACTTCAGGTTGTTGATGATCTTCTTGATACGCTTACTGATGGCGAACATTCGAGAGCGATGGCAGAATTGAAGAAAGGAGACGTGGTGAGTTTGTTAAACAGTATTAGAATACACTGATGTGGGCGGTAGGAGATGATGCTAATTTTTTTCTAACGCACTAGGTTTTTTCGTTCATTTGAAGCTAATTTTTAGACCAGTTACTCCGACCGCATTTATGTCTCCTACTACCTGGATAGGCTTCACATTTGCAAATTTTTTCGTTCTCGCTCGACACAGTGCCATTTTAAGGAGGATGTGAAACCAAGGGACACGGAGGACCTCTTGGAGTTGCTCTCCGAAGTGGAATCGCTGGAAAACCTTGGTGTGGACGTTTCTTTCGTAAAGGACATACGGGAGAATCTGTCAGTTAGTAAACCGACGGATCTTCAGGTAGTGGTATTGTTTCAGAGACGTCTTTTCATTAGATCCATTATTTTTGTACCTTATTATTATAAGGTCATATTAGAAGTGTGTATTAGCATCACTACAAGAAAGAATCCCTGAATCTTAAACGTAAATAGTCTCGCCAGATTTCCCCGAATGTCGCTGTCGCCCCGAAGCTCGAATGTTCATGTACGACATCAAAAATTTTGTACGAAATTGTAACTGCAACCAAGACGATGCAAACATACCTGTCAAGACAGGGCTACTCTGCCTGAGCAATGAAATCCTGCTCTTGTATAGGGTGAAGGAGGCAGAAGTGTGGGGCTGTGGACTACTAAAGCTCGACTTTCGTCGAAAAAGGTAATTGTGCTCCCTATATCGACGTCCACCGGTCGCAGCACCGTTATCGAAGTAGGGCCAATGAAGAGAAAAGGAAGTAGAGCTGTTCCAGTCTAATCGCCAGCCTTCTATGTACTACGTGACACCTCCTTTGTCTTGACTGCGGGGACGGGCAGAAACCACGTTGCCTCAGGAGTGCGAAACCTTGGAATGGCGCGATCACACTATCGTAGGGTTTTCAACATAGCGCGATCACCTCGAAAAGCATTTTGGTGAAGTTCGCCTGAGATGTTCCTCGACCGTTGTCAGTCTTTATCAGCTGTACTCATTTTCATATTCATATTTACCCACTTCCTACGACCTCCTTCATCCAAATTCAAGTCACGCTCTCCCCACATCACCTATTTGAACGAACGTCCTCCACTGTCGTCATGACTGAATGCGGATAGGTGCTGCACGCGGCTTCCATTTCAATTCTTTTCCCGCACGCATAGATTTTAAAAATAGTATATCAATTGAGGCGCAATATTCCGTGCACTGCAGATTCATTCTACCAATAGAATCTAATGCTGTTCAAAAAATGTTGAGAATTTACAGTCGGCTCTTATCACATCAGCAACTGGGCATAAGAACCACAACAGCTGGGGAAAGAACCAATTTCAGTCAATGTCAGTGATACGAATTAGTTCTTTCTCCTTTTTAAGATTGAACTATTAGTATTTTCTTTCTTACTAGCATTTGAACCACGTTATTGCTTTGGCGTATTCGCTCGCTCGCTGCGCTTCTTCGAAGTGAAAGATCCCAATCTTCTCAAGACCCGGACACCCTAGCACCCTAGGTGAATACGGCAACGTCCCTTTCCAGCCCCTGTCAGTTGCCATCGCTTTTTGACAGCAAACATTGATGTCCTCATCTCACCCGCTTTATGACTTGCTGAAACCAACGTTTCCCTGATGCTTTGAATCGCGCTATAGACTTAGTGACCTTTCTCTTCTAACGCCCCTTATCAAATCTGTTCAACCGCTATATGAACCTCCCCCAAGGTCAACATGGTTGGAGCCTCACGGGGCATTCGCTCTGAGTTAGGTCCTGATGATTCCTTCCATGGTATGGCGTTGGGAGGGCCCGATCACTTTCGCTTAAGTGGCTTCGCTTAGTGTTCAACAGCTCGCAGTTCTTGTCACCAACCAATAATGTTCTTGTTTCATATACGGCGGAACTGAAGTCCTGTGAGTCTTTCTGTGAACTTGGTGACCTTACCCTTCTAACACCCCTTACCGAGCCTCTTCAACAGCTTACAGTTCTTGTCGCTCACCAATAATGTACTTATCCCATATTCTGTATCATCATATCCTGGAATCAACACCTAGCCAATGCTGTGACCCGCGTTATGAATATGATGATCCTCCCCTTCTAACGCCTCTTATCAGATCTTATCAGCTGATATCACTTCCTGTCACCCACCAATAGTGTTCCCAGTCACACCCTCTACGTCTTGCAACCAATATCTCGTTGCTACTGACCGGGCTATGAATTTCTGAAGTTTGTGACATACACACACGCACACGCACACGCACACACACACACACACACACACACACACACACACACACACACACACGAATAGGCTTAGCCGATTATACAGCCGTGGAAAAAAAATCTGGGAACAAGCTTTGGAAGGGCATTTTTGTCTGTTGCAAGCTATCTGTTCTCTTCCTGAACAGCATTATCATTATCAGGAGCTAAAAATACCGTGACAGGTTTTTGTATTGGAAAGCGGAGGCTGAAAGAGTGAGTACGTTTCACTTCTCACCGATAGTCATGTAATGAAAACCAATTCGACCGCTAATCTAACGAGTCCCAACGAAAAGGGGTGCATAGTAATGTTTGCCGTTGACGAATGATAAGAACAGTTAAAAAATGGATATGTGAAAAATGCTTTATCAGAGCTGCGAAAGCCTTCATTCTCACTTTGATACTGTCTATTTCGAAATCTTCTACTAGTAATGTGATAAGCACTAGTCAATGGTCTGATCCTTGATAAAGAGGAATCTTAGGAAATTGGTAGTTAAAAAAAAAGAAATTTAGCCAAGACCTAGGTTCGGCACAGATATCGTGTCGGTGGTCAGTTCGGTAGTGTTCGTGCAGCAGTACGCATCAGTCAAGCTGTTAATGTTATAAGACAACAATATTAGAATTTTGATTGGGCGGAGGTAGTAGCAAGTGGCCCCACTTACCACTTGCGTAATCTGGGTTCCTAATCCCCCCGGATCGTCTCGCGCCCGGGCCAGCCGAGCTTTTCATGCCTACCGGGATTGCTAACTAGTGCTAGACTCGTCTAAGGTCTCATTACAAACGGCCACTTCGACCTGACGACCATCCCTAGTAAGAGCATAAAAACGTCGGCCTCTACATTGGCAGCCGTCTTCCTCATCCCCTCTCCGCAATGCATTGCATAGGCCAGTTCACGTTCAAGAGCCACCACAGCTCTGAATGGAAGTCAAGAAAAGCTGTTTAGGCATATCTGATTTGAATAAACAGTGTTCTCATGTGCCATCCAAAAAATGTTGGTAAAATCATTAAAAAGCGCACGAGTTGGCCTTTTTCGAAGTTTTTTTTTTCGCGGCTGTTTATGGTAAGATAGGATGGTAGAATACTGTTGCCATGGGGATAAAAATTGATCACCACACTGGAACACTATTTTAGTATGAAACTCTTGAGGTCTGTTTTGCAGTCGCAACTCGAGATGAGCGGAAGAGCCGTGCTTGATTTGGCGCGGATGCAAAACAGACGGCTCTCGCAAGCACCACCGGTTACGCTCACGAATGTTCCGCCACCGACGATGGTTGAGACGCAGCTAGCTGGAAACCTTCAGCGCCAACTGGCTACACAGGTGTGTTCATCCGTTTTGTTCAACAAAAACTTGTAATGTGATTAGTAGCCATCAGTGCTAGTGTTGAACTGTGAAGAGCTCTCGTCTCCCCAACTTTATGAATGTATTTTTTTTGATCCCTGGTGACCAAAACGTTTGAACAAACTGTGCGATCACTTGCGAAGTTAATCGTATCATCGTCGCTGATGATGCCCCTCGACCGCAACCTTCGGGGATGGGGCTGACCAGGAAAGGTCATCAGGTCAGCCCGGCCATTTCCAATGAGCTGCACACCGTTGTACGCGTCTTGGGACGGTGAACTCAGAACTGTCTTCAAAATTTGCAGAACGATTCTCTGAACGGAGTTATGGAGGGTTTTATCCCCGCATGGTCGTTTCACATGCTATCGCGAGGAAACGTGGAAGCGTCTTTACATTTATGTATGGAGTCGTTCTGAAACGTGGTAGCAGAGCGCAACGGGTAGGGAGCGGGTTTCTTAGGCGAGACGTCGTAGGATCGGTTCCGGGGCAGGTCCCTTTTTTGCATTTGTCCAAGAACATAGCCGACAAAGCTTCTAACATCTCTGCTCGCCTGCACTACCTTATAAGGGGACTTGCGATCAGTTTTTTCGAAAGAGTAGACCTGTTGTGGCCTGAAG